CCCAAGATCCCTCGGGCCCCACAGCCAATCCTTCAGGCTTTTTAAAAGGCTTTGCTGCTGTGCTGTCTGTTATAAACTCTGGTCAGTTTCAAGAGGGTCCCCCCCCCCCTTTGCTTGGGTTCCTGTGTTCCTTTTCCATTTTCTCCAACAGAGCTTCCAAACCACCACCACCCCATGCTTGCTTGGGGATGTTGTGACTGTGCTTTATGAGACTGTATGACTTTCCCATTTTCCCCAGTGGCCAATAGCACAGCAGAGAATCCACTTCTGCTTGGCAATGAGGAAAATGGGGTTTCACAGCTACACTTGTCAATATCAGAATAGTCTGGTGAGTTTCAATAGGGTTTTTTTAAATTAGTGTTTCCTTTCATTCAAGGAACTAATGCGAAAAGGCATGCACAACACTGAACCAGGGGGATTTAAATGGAAGGCCCTTACTTTGACACTACTGTGCAGCTGCGGTAGGACAATTGTGTAAATTTTTTTAAAAAAATGTTGAGCACCCCCGACACCACACAAGTGACATTCCCGCTTCAATCAAGAAAAGTGTGTTGTTGTTTTTTTTTGTAACTGCAGAATAAAGAATCGTGCATAATGCAGGCACAGAATCCAAAGTCAAACTCAAGGACTTGACTACTCAGAAAAGCTGTTTATAATAGGCCATAGTTTTCTCCATTTATGCAAAGCAGTGGAAAATGCCTGTTATTCCAGAACAGAAACATGTCTTTTTAAATAAATAAATGACCAAGCTGTTATGAACATTTGAAGCTAAAGTCAGAGCATTGGTCAATTTAGTCCAGCACTGGAAATGCCACTTGGCAGAACTCCTCGGAGGTATTTGGCAAACATTTTCCAAGCCTTGATATCCAAGATCCTCTTAACTGGAGCTGTTAAGAGGTTTGAACCTGGGACCTCCTGCATGTACTCTACCATTGAACTGTGGCCCTTTCCCTGATAGAAAGGGAAGCAGCTATATTACATTTGGAGGGTTGTGATTGAGGCAGAAAGATAAGACCTGTTACACTCACTGGGTATTGGCAAGCCTCCGCTGATAAACTGGGACTGAACTACAAAGGAAAGGGCTGTGAGGTGATGTCTCCCCAGTCCCGTACAGTGTGGTTCACCCTCTATGAAACAACATGATGTGACATTTTAAAAAGATACAGCATGCTTTAAAAGGGGGCTTTTCTCCATTCCTGGATAATCCAGGAAAAATCCAGGCTAGGCAGGGAGAGAGGCTCGCTGCTCCTCCCCACCCATCACTGATTATGCAGTTGCCCAGCTTTCCTCATGGCTGTGGTGCCTTTAGGCTGACCAGTAAGGATGGCCGAGATGTTCTTAATGAAGATCCTAAGGGCAGAAGCCCACGGAGGGAAATTCTGCAGCAAACTAAGGGGTATCACTCATTGTTTAAAAATGACAGGGGGATATTTGTGTTGGAAAACAGGTTTCTACTGTAACAGGCACGTTGCAATGGAGGTGTGCTTTTTTTGGCTGTGAATACAACAGGTGCCATATGCAGCCTAGCATGGGCTTGATAAATTTACTGGGCTTTTCCCCTGCTGCCTTATCAAGCTCCTGGCAGCCACAAAAGAGAGCTGGTGGGCTGCATTTGGGTTCTTAAATTCTGCTGGCCTAGTATCCACTGGCCAGGGATCTGTTGCACTCTGGTCAGAGTACACAGAGCTAAATAGACGCTCACAATGTCTTACTCACATTAGGAATAGAGAGTCATCTCTGGCATGGAACAAAATGTAATGGACGAGCAGCCCTAAAATGGATAAACAATGCCTTTATTGCGAAGGTTGTGCTTTGTCTTTGGCACATATATAATTTTTGCTACTTGGAAGCATTTCAGTCCAAAATCCAGTTGGCCACCCACAGATGTAGATTAAAGGCCCACTCCAGTGGGCAGGGAGGTTGCTTCCAGATTGGACAGGGCAGCAAGCCTGGCATATGGCTGACTGCCCCAACGACAGCACCATCTGCACACAGCACCAAGGCATCGGGAGGCAGGGTGAGAGAGCTGCTTGACCCTCTCTCTTCCAGATGAAGGGGACTACTGAGGGTCCCTTTGAATCTCCTGTGACTGAAGATAATGAGCACAACTATTGGGTGTGGACAAGCCTCTGTTGATACACAACCCAAGGGAATGGGGCTGAATCCTGGAACTGTTGTTCTTAGTAGTACTGCTGGGGAGGGATGTACTTCACACCATGCCAATTAATAAGGGTGATTTGCTGGGAAGAGGCTTTCTCATACATCGCAACAGTGCTGACTGCATCCATGTCCACCAGTAGGTAGCAAGCATGGCTGGTTAGAGACAATCCTTGCCTGCCCCGGGGAATACCCGGAGTTCAAGGATCAACATTTTATGTGAAATGACCCTTCGCCTTCACCAAATCATCAGCTCCTTTTAATGCCCTTCTAGCAGTCTTCTGCTACCACTTGGGGTAAGGGGAAGACAATCAGCCATCAGAAATTCCCCTATTCTAAACAAAGGGTCATATGTTTTGAGGGGAAGTTGTCCCCATCACAAATTAAAGGGCTTTTAAAAAATAAATAATTTTTAGTGTGAATCAGTGCTCCAGGTGGGGCCATGAATCCACTGGCTTCATCCTGTCTACAGCCATGCTTTAACATCAGTGAGAATGAACTCTGAGTTTAAGAAGACAGGATCTTGATAAAGGAAATCCAGGACCAAACTAAGTGGCACCCCATTTTTTAAAAAAAACATCAGTGCCAGAAAAAAGGGTTTATATAGTTACTAGAAATAAGGCCCGTTGTGGAAATAAATACAACGGGATCTAGAAAGAGGCTCTGGGAGAGTGCTCTGGCTTTGGGCAAACAGTGTCAGTCTGCTTTTAAAACATGAATCTGGGACCTGCACACCACCAGAATACAGCAGATTCCATATGCAACTGACATTCCAACTGCCTTGCGGGGGGGGGGAGAGTTTGAGGTGTGGAATGGAGTGAAGTCCAATCAGCTTCCAAATGCAAAAGACCAGGTTGTCGCAGCAGTTGTGGTGTGGGTGGGACCTGGGCTTTGCCTTCTGATTCGTGGCGATATATGCTGAGGAGCAGTGTCATCAGCCATACACTAAGGGAGTGCATTTTAGAATTAGAACTTTGGCACCCACTATTCAATTATATATAAGGAGAGATGTGGGTATTGCAATGGAGGCATCGTTCTGAGTGTGCATAGACTCTGGCCTCGGTCCAGCGATATGCAAGCAGAAACATAGATGGTACAGTTCCCCTTGTGCAAGACCATGTTCAATCCCTAAAATTTCCCTCCATATATCTTAGTGCCTAGAAACTTCTTGCATAACATCTTGTACAAACAAAAAAACAGTTCAGGATACACTATGTTTAACCTATCACAAGGGACTAGCACGTCTGCTAGTTATTTACACTTCTGCTTGTACAAGAACCCTAGAGCATGCAGAAGGCTTCCAGTGGATCCAAGCACATGCCTGCACAAGTCGTGATGCATCAATCAGAGTCTGCCATCCATATGTTTCCAGGAATCTAAGGCAGGAAAATAGACCATGATGAATGCAGTGGCATAGCTGATGGCAAAACTGCCACCAGGTGCCATCCAGGGAAAGCTAAGCATACGCAAGCCCTCTTGAAATCAGTTCTACAATCCACTTGCCTGAGAGTATATCTCACTGAATTCAGTAAGAGCTGGTTCTGATTAAACATGTATGGAAACAGACCACGAGTGTGCAGAACTGTCTCTGACTGCACTCATGGCTTTGAATGGATTCACCATCTCTACCAGTCAGAACTGGAATCAACAAACTTAGTTGTTATATAAAAGACCTATTGTGGTGGGATTCCCTGCACATGCCCCTCAGAAAAAACCTCTAACACTCCAGTTTGCCTCTATACATCTTACACAGTAAGATATAAATTCATTAAAAAGGTAAAGGTTTCCCTTGCTCAAAAGCTAGTCAAATCCAACTGTAGGGGGCAGTGCTCATCTCCGCTTCCAAGCTGAAGAGCCAGCACTGTCCAAAGATGGTTCTGTGGTCATGTGGCCGGCATGACTAAACGCCAAAGCACACAGAATGCTGTTACCTTCCCACTGAAGCGGTACCTATTTATCTACTTGCAATTTCTTGCTTTTGAACGGCTATGTTGGCAGGAGTTGGGCCAAAGACAGGAGCTCACTCCATCATGCGGCACTAGGGTCTTGAACTGCCAAATTACAGACCTTCCAGTTTGCAGCTCAGCATCTTAACCTCTGAGCCACCACAGCTCCATCTGATGCTAAGATGCCCTGTCTTCTTGGTGCTGGGGGGGGGGTCAACAGTGGGAGGGCTTCTAATATCCTGGCCCCACTGGTGGACCTCCTGATGGCACCTGGTATTTTTGGCCACTGTGTGACAGAGTGTTGGACTGGATGGGCCTTTAGCCTGATCCAACATTGGCGTCTCTTATGTTCTTATGTCCTTAAATTCATAGGAAATTGTTATTTGGGCAAATACACCAACGGTCCAAATAAATGCTTATTTTCCAGCCATGCTGTTTGGGTGGTGGCTAACTTATGCAGCCTCACTGGCTTCTTCACCAGAACCTTCAATACTGTTTGTAAGAAAGACTGAAGGAGGGGCACCCTGCTTTCATAAGGAAATAACAAGGACTAGCTTTTCTTCCTAGCTTGCTCACTCTGGGCTTTCCTTTCTGAGAAGGACTTGGTCTGACATCATTTTTTTTAAGAGTCAACTTTTCTAAAACTTCTCTCTTTTTACAGTCAGAAAAACATACAGTGATCTCTCTCCAAACTAAATACAGTCAGCAGCATTCCCCTGATGGCACAGGCATACAGAATAATATTTGGGAGTCCCCCTGTCCTTTCTTTGGAGCAGGAGGAGGAAGGGAGGAGAAGGATGGCAGCTCTGACTGCAGGATCTTTGGGTGTGGGAAGCAGGAAGGAGCCAGAGGTCAAAAAGATATACATCTTCTATTTCTTTACTGAATATTCCTGCTAATTTCATTCATCACATAAAACTTTACTTTTAAGAACAAGCAAAAGGGTTATTGTTTTTTTCCACCCCAGTCATGTTATTTAATTAACCCTTCAGACTGCTCAGACCTTATGCAAAAAGTTTCCCTGGGTTTTTGCCAAAGGAGATTGTGTAGACCTCTCTTCTGCGGCTGAAACCAACCTAGCCCAGTCCCAGTGTCTTTGGAGAGGATCGCCAGCACAGCTTCCTCTCTGCACCCCCACTGTGCCAGTCTGTTTTGTGACCTCTTTTTTGGGCAATAGGTTCTCTAGAGTAGACTGACTTGGCAGTCTGCTCCCTCAAAGGAAGGCACAGCAACTGGTCCTCTTCTTCTGTGACTCTATGTAGTCGTGGATCTGGAACCTCGGCTCCTCTGGCTGCTGCACAGCTCGCTGCTTGAGCTCTCTGGAAGCACAGGGGTGAAAA